CGATGGAAAGTGCAGAACCCCTGACTTTTGGCGAGGGTTGGAGCATTTGCAAACAACTTCTCACATTGCTGAGAAAGCCCGGGGATGGTACTGAGAAGGGTGGTGTGTTCAGTTCTGCGTGTTTTAAAGCTGAAGGTCAGACTTCTCAGTACCTGGATTAGATGCTGGCCTGGCCGTGTGGCTCCCCAGGCTGGGTGGCCCACGGACCTGTGTGGTGATGTCAGCTCTCTGGGCATTGGTACCTTCCTCGGTAACCTGGCAGGTGCAGCCTCCACAACTGAAACCATGGGCACCCTAGGACGATAGGCTACCTGCCCATCCCCATGAGGGACCTTGTCCCAAAAGGGGTTTCTTCCCTGGGTAGGACCTCACCACACCTGATTTACGCTGTGAATGAATCTATGAGCTAGCTTCATTTACTCCATCCCAGGGTTAGTGTTGTCTTTGGTTTTTAATTTGCTACAGAACTAGTACAGAATACTCAGAACATTTGCCCAAAGTTAAAAAAGGTAGAAAGGAGATGGTGATAAGAAGATTTTTTAATGTACTACTTTTTCTATACAAAAAAAAATGACATAATTATTCCACCTGAGTTTATAACTTTGTTGGTGTACTCACGGCAATGGACAGAGTTTAAATAACCAGTTGTGTCATTTAAGGTGAGGTTCAGCACATGGAAGAGAAAGCCCCAATCGCAGACTTAAATGAGAGAGGACCCTTTGCTTAGATGAAAGAAACCCAAGCAAGGAAATCCTTGGCAGAGAACCTGTTCCCAGGCTCCTCAGAGACCTAGGCTCTTCCTATGTGCCTTCTCCCACTTTCTTATCATGTAACCTCCATTCTCAGAATTGCTTTGTGGTCACAAGATGGCTGCTTGAATGCCTGCTCTCACGTCTGAGCTCCAGGCAGCAGAAGGAAGAAAAACACCTCTCGGCTGACTCAGCCCCACGTGAAGAGCTTCTTTGAGAGCCCAGACCAGAGATGTGGCTTATAGCTCATTAACCATGCCTGTGTGCAAGACAGGCTGGGAAATATGTTTGAGACAATACCAAAGCACACCACTGCCCTCAACCATGCAGGGTTTCACTGGCGAGAAAGTAGGGAAGCTGTCCCTACCTAACCCGCTGTGCTCTCTCCTGGCCTCGTCACAGCTGTCTGTCACCAGAGTTACTGGTGTCAGGTGGACCAGGGGACTTGGTCGGATGTCAGTTGGTTCATCTTTGTCAGATCTGGGTGCCTCTGGCATGACTGGTCACAACTGGTCACAACTGGTGACAACTTTTGGGAAAACAATTTGCGTGTTCCCTGAGGACAGACCGAGGGAGTAGCGTAGGGAGAGCTTTCTGGATCTTCATTCCTCCTGAACGTGAAAGGCAGGTAGCTCCCCACTCACGTCAGTTTGGGCGGCATCGAAGAGTTCACATACAATGTGGAGTCAAGTTCATTGACACCGGCAGGGAGGGGTGCCCAGGGAAGTCAGTCCTCTCTCACCTCAGGGGCACCTGTCTGCCCATTTTACAGCCAAAAACACGGAGGCTAGCGCACCCTCCCGCAAGAGCTACACTGCTCCCCTATCCACAGAACCACCTTCGCCCAAGGAGCCTGGCTCTCCAAGAAAGGGCTCCACACACCCAGGTGCCAGGGCCTCGCCTTGACTCCCGCGTGCTAGGTGGGGTCGAGTGTCCTTTGGGAGACAGCTCCGCAGCTGACCCCCAGCTCTGGGCTTCTGGGGGCCCTCGCAGGCCTCTGGGCACCCCCAGTGAAGCTTAGGTGCCAGACTTAAAACAAAATGGTGACTCCATTGTAAACAGTGTCACCACTCAATAATGTTTGCGACAGACCTCAACCTCCCCCGCCGTGTTTATTTATTTTTCTTTTTTTTAATTGAATTTTATTTATTTGTTTTGAGAGAGAAGGGAAGGGAGGGAGAAAGAGGAGAGACATACTGATGCCTGCCTGAGAGATACCAGTTGCCTCTCGAGCGCCCCCTACTGGAGACCTAGCTCACAACCCAGGCATGTGCCCTAGACTGGGAATCAAAGTGGCGGTGACCTTTAGGTTCGCAGACCAACACTCAATCCCCTGAGCCCCACCAGCCAGGGCATCCCCGCTCCATGTTTAAAAATGGAATTAAGCTGAGCTTTCGGTAGGGGAGTGGGCACATCTAACTTGAATTTTATCGTAGTCTTTTACTCGCGTTTATGTTTACTGAGTGTTCCGTGAACAAACCAGCCCTCCAAAGGAAGTGTCGTGGATTTGGAGACTCCGAGTTGCGTGGAATTCTGACATGCGTGGGAGCCAAGCAGCAGGCCGTGGCGGAGCGGCTGTCGACCGGGGAAGCGCCCACCAGCCGGAGAGAGTCCAGGGGAACTTGCTAACTTCCCAGGAGAAAAGCCTGCTGGGAGCAATCAGTCCGCATCTGCGGGAAGGGCCAGAAAATGCGGAGCTGGCGTGTCCCGAGCCCTTCACAGCTTATGAAGCGCTGAGCACCCTTTTCCTGCCCCAGCTTCCCCCAGCCCCGTAAAGTGGGGAGGAGATGGTTTTTCAGAAAAGGAAGAACGAAAGCTCAGCCGGATGAAGTATCCACCCACAGAGGCACCGCCGGAATCAGGTCAGGGATGTGGCTTCTGGCCCCTTGGGGATGCTCAGGCAGACCCCTGCCCGCCAGTCAGCACCTGGCGGCCCACCATGGGAGAAGAGGGTGCTCCCTCCTCCCCTCACCCCTGTGGGCAGCACCTCTGAGTGCAGGAGATGAGAGACACAGCCTCTACTATCGTTTTGTGCCTTCGCTGTGCTCCGTGCTTCCCGGGCGACGTGGGGCTGCGGGACACAGCTGCAGAGGAAGGCGAGAGATGCCCCTCGTCCACGCCCTGTATCAGCCGCCCCCGCACGAGTCTGGCTGGGGTTTCCTCCACTGCGGGTGATGTCTGGGGCAGGCACCCACATGCCTCTGCTTACTCACCTGGAAAATGGGGAGAAGAGCCTCTTGCCTCCCTCCCACTGAGTGGCAAGGCAGGGGAGCCGAGGTAGCCTGCTGGTCTGGACAAGCCTGGAGCCGGGCCCAGCCTCCTGGGCTGCGCTCTGGCACCCTCAGGCTGTGGCCAAATGCCTGGCTGCAGCCCCCAGCCAGGTTCCCAAGATGACGCGGGTGGGGGGCTGCTCGAGCAGAGATGCAGGCGATGCAGTCCTCCAGGCCGGGCGCTGCGGGTCGTGGTGGCACCAGGAGGCAGCCTGCATTCCTGACTTCAAGGTGACCAAGTGGCTGGCCGCCGTCCACCTGGGAGCAAGCAGGCTCCGTGTTCACCCTAAGGAAGCAGAGATCTGAGCCCCGGCCACACCTCCTCCAGCTATCCAGAAGTTGTTTCAGTAACCCAGTGTCCTCTACACATTTTCAGGGCTTTTTAAGCGCTGGCTCCAGTGAATGAACTTCACCCATCCAGAATCCCAAAGAAACCCTTGCAGAGGGGGGTTGAGTTGAGGTCTGGTCATGCTGGGCGCACCCCAGGCACGCAGGCTCAGCATCCACCTGCGTGTTCCCGGAAGACCTGAGTGGGGACCACGGGGCCGGCCAGGCGGGACAGCGAGCTCAGGGAGTGGCAGGAGCGGCTGCGAGAGAGCCGGCACTGGTCTAGGACTCACCACTGTTGGAGAGCCCAGCATCCAGGACAGACTCACCGCTGTCCGTCAACCCTAATCCACTCAGGGGACCCGCTGTCCTCCTCCCATCCCTCACCTGTGCGTTCTAACCCACAGGAGCATAGGTCCCTTTCACCCCCTGGAAGGGCGGGGCGCCCTGAGGAGGGGGGATTGCAAACGCTTTCAGGCACCTCGAGGGAGGTGAGGGGGGCAGAGATGGACGCCGAAACCCCCCAAACAAGCAGGGGGAGCCTCAGACAGTAAGGAGTACCCCGCCACTGGAGATGACTCGCAGAAGGAAAGGGACTGAGGGGCTGAGGCCACCTGGGGATTAAACCACTGCTTGCGTCCCCAGGCCGTGTCCCGCATCATTGTTCCAGGGATGACACAGAGGAGAAGCCGTTTTCAGGTCTCACATGGGACCTGGGGCCCGTCCGCGTCGTTGGTGGGACTTCTCCGACAGGGCAAGACAGGAGGGGCAAGTCTGTCTCCGCGTCTCAGGGGGATGACGGGCTGCCACTCTGAAAACCTGAGAAGACGCCCTGTACTTTCTCTTTTTTCATTTTTTTTTAAATGGCAGGATATGAGTAATTAGTGCATTTTCCAAATCAAAATCGTTACATCCCAGAGCCCTGGGCTGAAGGGCGGCATGATCCTCGGAAGGCCAGAGGCCCAGCTGCCGGGACCCCAGAGCGCCGTTCAGAAAGCGCAGGAGTTTTTCCTTGGTCTTTTGGCCTTTGGCGCGTGAAGCTCCAAAACCGAGGGGAAATTCTGGTCCCAGCTCGGGCCGAATAGGGCGTGGCGGGCGTCTGTGGTACTAGCGAGACCCCCCCCCCCCCCCCACCCCGGCAGGGCAGCCAGACTCTAGGCCAAGGCACAAGACGCCTCGGCCCCCACGGGCGCGCGCCGTCCCGGAACGCAGCGCAGGCCCCAAGCAGGCAGCAAGCAGGCGGGCGTTGCGGGCGCGCTGCGCACCCGCCCAGGTGGAGCCGGTACACAAGAGCTGCGGCCGGACAGGGGGCGGCAGGTGCCGAGCACGGAATCGCCCGACTTCGGGGAGACAGCCGGAGGCTGCAGTCTGCTAGTGTCCACGCCTCCACGCCTTGCTGCGACCCACTGTCCGCACCCTGAGACTTTCGGACCCAGCGGCACTTCGGTTTGCGCCACGAAGGGCAGCCTCCAGGGCGGGGAGAGAGCTGCGCCGAGGCCGGGTTCTGGCAAGGGCGGCGGGAGGGGTGGGGTGAGGCGGGCCAGCCCCCTCCCCTCCCGGCGGGCCCTCCCTTCTCCCCGTCCTGCAGCCAATTAAACGGCCCCCTCCAGCGGGAGGCGTGGGGCTCTGCATAAAGCCGCGAGGAGCTGTCACCCTTCGAGTAGGCTGCGCACCGCTCAGGACTGAGCGGGTCGACTCGGGCGCCGCTGGGCTGGCCGGAGAGCGCGGAGGAGCCATGGCTACCAACGGGGCCGTGGAGAACGGGCAGCCGGACAAGAAGCCGCCAGGCCTGCCGTGCCCCATCAGAAACCTGGAGGTCAAGTTCACCAAGGTGAGGTGGCGCCCATCCCAACCGACGGCAGCCGCGCTCCGTGCAGGGCTGCCCAGCTCGGGATGAGCGGAAGAGGGGCCCGCAGGCCCGGAGCCCCGGGTGCTCCGCTCCGAGGGTGTCGGGCGCTGTCGGCGGCACGCTCTCAGCTGACTTCGCCCGGCGCTCGCGACCTCCGCTGTTCCATTTAGGCTGGGCCCTCCTGAAGCCGAGCTCCGCGCAGCACTCCCCAGGCGGGAAGCCTGCGTCCCGCACGTGTGTCCACCGCGCACCCATGGGGGGGACTCCGCGATCCCCACCCCCGGACGGGCTCTCAGGCGGCGAAGCTCAGAGCTTTCAGCCTCAAAGCCTGGCAGGAAAGACCTCAAAGACCCCCACACGCACGCGCGCGCAACCCCGACGTGCCCTCAGGACAGGGCCGGCTTTGCCGAGGAGCGGAGGTGCCGGCCTCCGGCGCGTTGCGCTCCCCGCAGACCCTGCCGAGGGTGTCCAGGACTGAAAGGGTCGGCCTTCCGGAGGGTAAGAGGGCGCCAGGGAACGTGAAGAGAAGGTCTGGGAGCTCTGGCCCCTCGGAAAGGTGCCAGGGGTAGCAAAGGGAGAAACGTGGGGGCAATTCCGTGCTTAGCTTGTACCCGGCTGACCAGTGGAGCGAGGGGAGGCGGGAAGGTGATTTCTGGTCCAACTGCTCTGGAGCCCCGAGGCCCTGGTTTTGACGGAAGCAGCAGCCAGATGGGCGCCTAACAGGGCCTGGGGCGCTGCGGGTGGTAGGACCCATCGCGCCACAGAGTCCGGAGGTTCTCTGCCTTTCTGCGCTGCGGGCCCTGGAGGCTGGGGTGTAGGCAAAGCGGTGAGATCACCTGCCTGGGGGCAGAGAGGGAGATGGCGAGGCCTGAGCGCCGCGGACCAGCAGGCCAGCCCAGCCCAGCCCAGGCGAGCCGGCGCGCAGAGCTCGGCGCGTCCCTGAGGCTGTTTGGAGGGGGCCTTGGGCAGGGGCCGGGTGGTTGGGGGTGGGGGGCGCCTTCAGGAGCGCAGACCCAGAGTGCCGTCCGCTTCCGCGTTCCCCAACGACGTCTCCTTTTATTTTCGCATTTTGTCCAGTAGCCCCCAACTCCAGCTGACACAGCACTTAGAAAATTCCCCCATCAATTTTACTTTCAAAAGTAGCAATTATGCCTCTCAAATAGTTTTAATCAGGCGGAGAACGTTGCAGGCCACCAAGTGTGGCCTTCAGATTCTGGTCTCTTGGCACTTCAACGTCGGCGGGGCCTCTGATCACATGACAACCAAATTAACTGTTTTCAGAGGGCTCCGTAATCAGCAGAGCCCCTCCCCATAAAGGCCGGAGATTATTTTCGATGCAGTTTCCTTGGCAGTATCGGCTTCAGAGCGAAAATTCCAACACCAGTTTTTGCTGGTGCCCGAGCGCCTGCGGGTCGTGGTGGATGGCGTTTTCTTTTATTTTCGTTTTATAGGGTTTTAAAAAAAAAAAGGACGTAGAAACCAGAAATTACATTTAGGATTGCCGTTTTATGCTTTACTGTTTTTGGTGGTTTTTTTTTGGGGGGGGGGGGTTGCTACTGGAGTGATGCAGCCCCGTGTGGAAAGTTTCTCTCTTTTTCTGCACATTCTGATGGCCCATGGAAAGGAGGGTCTTACTTGGCACATTCTTGGAGGACCAGCGCGGCCCGTCTTGTTTGGTCCCCCCTGGTCCCAGGGGATCAGCACTGGGTATGTGACTGAAGCCGAGGAATGGCCACTGGATGGAGGAGAAGGGAGAGCCCGGCCCCTTACGGGATCCCAGGCCACGAATCGGCCGGGCCTGACGAGAGGCCACAGTCTCCTCCTTCCCTGTGCAGGGTGAGGCTGCCGCCTCTCCTTTCTCCTCACCCAGGGCCCACCTCCACAAAGACCCCCGCCCCCAGCATTTGTGGGGCCCAGGCAGCCTGTGTGCTGTGGCCGAGGGTGGGCGTCCGGGCCAGCCGGGCCTGGGGAGCTTCTGGCTGGAGAGGCAGCCAGTAGAGGCTGGAGGGACAGATCTCCGGCCCCGAGGCCCAGGGCGGGCAGTCAGGAGCCGGTAATGGTGTGTTATTTTCCAAACTCGATCCACTGCGCTTCCCGCTCATGGAGGACATGCCAGAGGCGGTGTCTGAGGCTCTACGGCCCAGGCTCAGTCCCGTTTCCAGAAGGACGACCTTGGTTGGTTCGCACATGTTTAGCACGGGGCTTGCTCTGCAATTCCGGTGCGGGCAGGGTCCCTCAAGAACACGCCCGCGCCCCCGCAGGCCTCCGTGGACAGCAACCCCGTGTGCTTTGGGGGCCCCACCCCTTCCTTATACAATTTCTCCTGGTAGCGAAGATCCTCGGAAAGCTGGTCTCGTTCAGGAAAACCGGTGCCTAGGATTGCTGGGATGAAAAGATACCATCCCTTCCAACCTCCTTTTCTGCAAACGCATACCTTTGGGGTTGAGCTGGGGTCCGATGAGAGTCCATAGAAGTGGCACCCGCAGAACCCGCTCGGGTGACAGCCGTTCTCGCTTCTCCCCAGGGACCAGGCTCCTCACCACAACGGCAGCTTTGCCGGCTCGGTCCCGATAACGTCATTGCATTCCTCCACGGAAATCAGAATTCTGTCTACAGCTCCCTGTCTTGTACTGGGGCTGTTTCACACCCGAGTCTATAGGGGAAGGATTCTCTTCCCGGCTTGTGCTATTCTGATTTTGGGTTCAAAGCAATACCACCAACGTTCCCGGTAGGCCACGCTCACCGACCCCCTTCTTTATTTGTGTTTTTGTTTTCTTTTCGTGGGGAGAAAATCAACAGTGGAAACCACTTACGGCGTTACTTACTAGCGTAGTAGAAAGAGGCAAAAAAATGTTGCTAAATTAGAAACGTGGTGATGGGGGAAATATGGTCGGCGTTGAGCAGTCTGCTTTTTTTTTTTTTTTGTAAGTTGCTGGTTGGAAGGGCCTAACGGATCCACGTCCTAGACAATCAAGTCATTTTGAGGGGGAGGCACATGCTTAGAGATGAAGTATAACAGACATCTGACCGTTGCAATCTGTTTCGCTCCCCTTTATTTATATTCCCTCCTACCACCTTCTCATTTTCCGCGCCCCCACCCCCGCCCTGGAACTGATACTAGGAAGGCCCTAGAATCAGCAGTTTTCACTGACAGGCTGTATTATCTAACCCACGAAATTTCATCTTCCGACAAATGGGCCTCTCCTCCTGGCCGCGCTTCCCTCCCCGCGCTAACTTAACTCTTCCGCACTTATTAATTTCTCACTGTTCCCGGGCGATTGCGCCCTGGATGGCAAAAGTCGGCTCTTGGGTTTGGTTTCAGCTGGAAGAATAAACCTGTAATTGTAGCCTGGCCCTGTCGGCGGGCTTCCCTGGGGGCCTCGGCCTCTCGCTGAAGGCGCTGAGCTTCCAGAAGCCAGCCCGGCACGTCCCACGGGTGGGCGAGGGCCCGCTCTCAGCTCTGGATTCCGCGCTGCGCGGCGGGGGAGGGCTCTGCCCACCTGCCTGGCCAGATCTGGCCTTCTGTTTTCATCCCACCGGGTCTCAGACTTCCCTGCTTTTCTGGGCCAGTGATCCCAGCGGTTTCCCCAGCTGCTTCTCAGAGCGGGCTGCCTTCCCTGGGAGCCTTGGGGTTTTTACAGGAAGGCCCAGGACAGAGGGCAGAACCAAGCCACTTGGGGTGGGGAGGGGACAGGCTATCCCCCTCTCATCTGTCCAACAGGATAAAATACACAATAACTGAAATTTGCCCTTGTAATGACCCAAGCCTTCTTTTAAACGACCCGAAGAGAAGCAAAGGTACGCGTATGGGTAGAGAATGGAATCTGATAAGCTAGTTCTGCACGTAGAAATTATTGACAGCGTTTTATTTGATGGACATGCTTCTTGAGCCTTGTAGCCATGTCTGTGACCTGGGACTTCCTGAGGCCGTGATGGGCTGTAGTGACAAGGCTGTCCCCGGCTGCCCCAGCCAGAGACTGTCTGTCCCTCGCTGGGTAGACAAGTCCTCATGCTGGTGTGTGGTGTCACCTCTGTTCCTAGTTCTCTTTCAAAAGCCCCTCTGTGTTGCAACTGGGCGCTAAACCCGCCACCCATGTATGTGCCCCGACCAGGAATCGAACTGCTGACCTTCCAGTTTACAAGATGATGCTCCAACCAACTGAGCCACACTGGCCACAGGGCTAACGTGATGTTTCTTAAAGCCGTTAGACTTGGAGTAAACAAAGAGTAAATAGCACATACATCTCCATGTGTGGATGTTGCAAATTCTTTTTAGTTTGCTTATTTTTTAACAGTCTCATTCTTGGCTTTGTTTTACATAACTCAGGCTCCAAACTAAGCGATTTTTGTGGCTTAATTCTTCGGTTTTGCATACAAATGTTTATGTGCTACGTCTGTTCGTATAACCAGAACACTTCCTAACCTTGATATTTATCTTTGTATTCCAACACTGGCTTTTATTAAGCCCAACCTGCAAATAGACGGTTTTGAAGGGGACGGGGGAGGGGTGCTGGTGGGCATTCGTAGACGGCAGGGTTATAGCGAGGTGGTTGTCTAAACCAGCTCCTTGGCAGTCCAGCGGGCGGAGGGCGTGGGGGGGCTGCAGCAGTCAGAAGAGAGTGTTCACGGCCCACCTACCCCGCAGGGGCAGGCGGATGCCTTAGCACGTCATGCATATAACCCTATTTAATCTTCCCCCAAACTCGAGGAGACTATAGCATTTAACTGACACCCTTATTTAACTACACAACACAGCTATTCCTCTGTGAATCCATGCTATTAAAAAAAGAGAGACTATTTTAGAAAAAAATCTGAATATCTTTGGCTTTATTATGACAAAAAGTAATTCTCTGAGCACAGATGAAAAGTCAAGAGACTTGGATTCTAGGCCTGAGCGGGCTCCCAGTCCAGCACGGGACTCTGTCCCCGCTCCTGGTCCCAGCTGGAAAGCGGTGGGTGGGCGGGGCAGGTGGGCAGGCAGCGGGGAAGGGCCAGACGGCCCCTCAGCTCCTCAGCCTCCTGGCGTGGTGTGATTTTGATCTAAGCCTAATGCACTGCAACTTCCTCTCTCGGTTAGATATTCATCAACAACGAATGGCATGACTCCAAGAGTGGAAAAAAGTTTGCCACGTACAACCCTTCGACTCTAGAGCAAATATGCGAAGTGGAGGAAGGCGATAAGGTAGGTGTCCGCCACCCGGCCTCTGGCAATCCGATTTCGGAGAAGGAAAGGATGGGCAAGCGAGTTGGCTGTGCCAGGACCGGGCAGCCCAGAATGAAATCCATCAGGGACAGTGCACTACAGAGGTTCTCTTTTGATGGGTGTCTCCCTGTGCAGGAGGGTGACCTCCGCGGTCCGCATCATGTGGCTCAATTATGTGGACGTGGAGGCGTTAAAGAACCTTCCCAGAAAGTGTTTTCGGTTGGTGTGTTTCACCAAATGCAGCTCGAAGGAAAAAAGACTTCCCAACCAAGCCACATAGGGGTAATGGCATTGTGTGACGGCCAGATTGCTGTTCTGCCAGAAATGTAACTGATCATGTGATGTATTGTAATAAGTTTATTATAATTCAAGCCATATATGTATATTATATCAGTACACAATACAACACACATGGTGTGTATGATAAGCCACATTATATAGGTTTTATACAACTATAGAAAATATAAAGCTAAGGGACCTCTGAATGTGTCCTTGATACATTCCCTTTTTTTTTTTTTTAAGATTTTATTTATTTATTTTTAGAGAAGAGAAGGGAGAGAGAAAGAGAGAGAAACATCAATGTGTGGTTTCCTCTCCTGCGCCGCCTAGTGGGGACCTGGCCCACAACCCAGGCATGTGCCCTGACTGGGAATCAAACCAGCAACGCTTTGGTTTGCAGGCCTGTGCTCAGTCCACTGAGCCACACCAGCCAGGGCAGAAGGTGTCCTTGATACATTCCAAAGTGCCATAAAGTGTCTTACATCTTTTTAAAATAAGTGCCACTGGGAGAAAGGCCATAAGTGAATTTTTTCCGAGGAGAGACGGGAAATGGAAACCTCTTCTCAACCCCCAGAGTGCTTCCCTGGCACTCCTAACGCGTGTATGGGTGATGTTGCACGCAGAGGGGGTGAATGACCCGCCTGTAAAATGGTCTTGAATTTGAGGCCCCTCCATAGCTTTGAGATGGTTGTGCGACACCCAGTGGTTCCACCGGTGCAGACCCTCCGACGTGCAGTGCCAAGTGCAAAGTCCTGTCTACAAAGATGCGGAGGCCAAGGAGCACGAATGGAGATACAGGATTGGAGGGGAGGGTGCAAAGCACGATGCTGAGCAGGGGCCCCATATCAGGGAGGAACAGGAGACCCTGCCCTGGGCCTGAGGTCCTAATACCTGTCTCCCTTGCCCAAGCTGGCACTCACCTCGAAGCACACTTTGGAGCCACAGAATGTTGGTGGGGTGCCCCTCGAGACTGAATCAAGTGCACACTGCCCACGCACCTCCCTAGGAGGCCCCGAGGGGCCAGGGGGATGAGCCGTGGCCCACCAGCAAGCAGAGCCTCGAACCCCATTTCCCTGAAAATAACGACCAGGGACATTACTCTAAACACCTTCCATTGCTTCTTCTCTAAGTAGAAGGCACCCCTGATAGTAGAAGTCATTCTCCTGTCAGTGCCTAGAAGGTCCAGTTCCTTGTCTATAAAATGGTGGAAAAAAAAGTCCCCAATTCTCCCCATCTGGGGACTTTTCTGATGAGCCTGGTTCTCGAGACCCGGAGAGTGCCCCACGCCTAGCCTCGCTGTCCAAACTGGGCGGGGGCGGGGGGGGGACCTCGGCCGGAACAAAGTGCCGAAACACTCATCTCCCGCTTCGTCCGGTGACCGGTGGGTGAGCGTGTGCCCGCACGGAGCTAGCAAGTGGAAAATCTTTTCCTGCTTGGGTTACCAAGAAAAATACCTCACTCCGATCGGTGGTTTTATAAACTATTTTAAAACGCTTTACAATCCAAAGGAAAGTTAATACTTGGCCATGGTAAAAAAAAAAAAAATCTTAAAGAAGACTGAAGATGGAAGGAGGGAAAACTAAGACAGCCCCCAGCCATTGCCGCCCACCCCCTCCTGCTGGCCCTGGGGAGGCAGGTTTCTGCGAGTCCCTGCGGCTGTCCCATGTCGCTGGCATCGCAAGGTGACACGCTCTCTCTCTTGTTTTGGCCACTCAGGCCGACGTGGACAAGGCCGTGGAGGCCGCCCATGCCGCCTTCCAGAGGGGCTCGCCGTGGCGCCAGCTGGATGCCCTGAGCCGGGGCCGGCTGCTGCACCAGCTGGCCGACCTTGTGGAGCGGGACCGCGTCATCCTGGCGGTGAGTACACGCACGCGAGGGACAGGCGTGGGGCAAGCCGGCGTGGGCGAGGGTCCCGTCCCCTGCGGGGCATGGGAGAAAAGACCGTAGGTGCTTGTCTTGGGTGACCGTGGCTTTGCTCGGGCTTTGGGGTGCAGCGGCCTGGAGTAGGCAGTCGTCCATGCCCCTGGACTTGACCTGGTTCCTTTAGAAGCTGGACTCATGCCCCCCGCAGCTCAGCTGCCTGGAGGAAGTTCCGCTTATTTCATGGTTCCCAGGCTTGAGACAGTCACAGACAGTGGATGGACTAGTCCTACCTTGTGCATTTATGAACGTCCCTTTTTTTTTCCATGTACTCCCTTTTACACTTAAATTTAACCTCATCCTGAGTGACAATATCCATGGACTCCCAGGTTTAATGTGCTGGTGGTATTTTTTTTTCAATATTTATTAAAATAAAGGCCACCACGTAACATAAAAATTATTCCCGTATGACCCACAAATCATCTCGGCGTCACTCTTGAACTGGGCAGTGGCAAGCCTGTGTGGCGTGAAGGTGAAGGCAGGGAAAGCTGGTTATCCCAAACCTCAAGAATGTGAAAGACCTGGGTTCAAATCCCCGCTCTGCCACTTTCCAGCTGTGTGACTTTGGACGAGTTGCTTGACCTCTCTGAGCATATATGTCTTCATGGAAAGGGTCACTAATAATGGTATCTAAGTGTTGTAAGAATGACCCGTTTAAAGTCCTAAGCCGACTCCCTGGGATGCAGCAAGCACTGAATAGATGATACCTATTACCAGGAATAGCCATCTCCATAGTAACGCTGTCTGAAGACCCAGGTTCTAACCCCAGCTACATACCCTCCCGGCCATTAATTTCTAGGCCCTTATTTTCTCTGCTGGGAAAATGGAGAGATGAATTCAGCCCACTCCCTGAGGTTGGGCTGCTCCCATGCCCTGGAGCTATGAAAACATTCATAAGTTGCAAATGCCTTATTTAATAGGATCCTTAGACCCTTCTTTGGCTTTGTGGTGCGTGGTCAGAGGAAATCTCCAGGCCACCTTGTGCCCTGGGGTCCTTCACTGCCTCTTGCAGCTCAGGCTCCTCTTTAAAACTAGCTCCAAACCCTGAGGCGTGTCGGGAAGGCGGGAAGTCTTCTTTCTGGCCTCTGACGTGGGAACACGGCTCTCTCCTCTCCTGATCCGATGTCAGCAAGGAGCAGCAAAGTACAAACACTCGTGGCGGACCGTGTCTGCCAGGACACTGCCATGGCTCTGTGCGTCGCCACCGACTGTGTGTCTTGGGGACCGGGGCGGGTACAGGGACGCCCACTCTTGGGTGCCTTGTCCTGGGGGCGCACCTCCATCCAGAGACCAGAGCTCTGTCGGCCAGCCTGGCCCGTGTGCCCCCAAACCGAGGGAGGGCAGCTCCCTCCTGGCGTCGGCGTTTCTCTCCGAGGAGCCTCCGGTTTCTTCCTGCGACGAGAGGCAGCCTCCACTCTCGGGCTGCCAAACGGGCTTTTTCAAAAACATTTCTGTCTTCTCCTAGCATGAGCTCATCGGTGTGCAATGCATGTGTGCGGGCTCCGGGCAGGGGAGAGGAGGATGTGCCCGGAGCTCCCCGCCCCGGCCTGTCCTCCGGGGTCAGTGTCGTCTCAGGGATCCCGGCCCTCGAGGCCACCTTCACCCTCCCCCTGCCCGCCCCGAGGCCTGGCAGCACCGTGTGGGGGCAGCAGGCGGAGCCTGTCACCTCCGCCATCGGGACCTCAGTGCCCATGGGACATGAGACCCAGCTCTTCCCCACAGCACAAATGGGGCGAGACAATTCCTGGCAAACATGTTTTTATTTATTTTTTTTAATCCTCACTCGGGGTTATGTTGATTTATTTTTAGAGAGAAAGACAGAGAGAGATCCATCGGTGGCCTCCAGCCTATGAGCCCCAACTGGGGACCGAACCCACAACCTTTTGGTGCACGGGACAATGCTCCAACCAGCTGAGCCACCCGGCCGGGGCGGCAAATACGGTTTTTAAAACATGGGCCACAGCCTAGGAAAGCACCCCTCACTTCCCACCTTGATATGCCTTTCCTGAGTTTTCAGGCTGCCAAATGCTTCCCGAAGCAATCTTGTCCTCTGGCTGGCTCTGTGGTGTGGGCAGAGCTGGGCATTTATGACTGTGTTCAATGTTTGGAAACAGATGTTGGGGGGGTCTAGCAGCCCCCCACTTTCTCTCCCCTCCAGACGCAGTGGCACCCAAAATCCAGCTTTTCCGGGCTCATCGTGGGAGCCCCCCAGTAGGGGTCCTCCCTGTTCGCTCTGTCTCTCTAAGCCTTGGCACACTTAGAATCGAGGAGTAGTTTCCCCCAGGGACTTTTCCTTGATTCTGCAGAGTCTGATCATTTTGACACTAATTTTTTCAGAAGATTTGCTTGTGGCTTAGAACATGAGAGGAAATAAACCTACCAGGAGCTGTGATTTATTCCCAGCTCAGCCACAACCACAGTTTAAAAGTCCCAATCAGTAGCTAAGACTCAATTTCTTAGGTTCAGACCTGGCTACTCACCTATGCATCCTTTTTTTTTTTTTAATTTTAAAGATTTTATTTATTTATTTTTAGAGAGAGGGGAAGGGAAGGAGAAAGAACATCAATGTGTGGTTGCCTCTCGCACACCCCCTCCCGGGGACCTGGCCCGCAACCCAGGCATGTGCCCTGACTGGGAATCGAACTGGCGACCGTTTGGTTCGCAGGCTCAAGTTCAAACCACTGAGCCACACCAGCCAGGGCTATTTTTATTTTTGAAAGAATTTCCTGTCTAATCCCATGGTGATCAGCAAATTCATGTTGTCACCGTGGCCGGCAGCCTTGCCCAGGTGAATAAGGAGAAATAGCCAAGGCGGGCTGCACGCTCACAGCACACCAGGCTGGTGGGGGGTTCTTCCCCTGCAGCCCTTGTCACCCCATTTCAGAGGGGCGGAGCCTGAGGCCCAGAGAGGTGCGGTACCCTGTCCGAGGCTACCCAGCCAGAGACCCCGGACAATTCCCCATGATTCTAGGCCGCAGTCCCTTGCCTGCCTCTCCCTTTCTCATCCCAGAAAAGGGCCGAGAATAAACACCCAGTTCTGCCAGCAGATCTGAGGTGCTGTCTGCAGGAGCTGAGCCCTGGAGAACTCTTGGCATGGTTTGCAATACCGGGTTTCCCCTGGGAAAATATTGCATTCCAACTGGCAACACCAGTTGATGCGAGCCCAAGTACAGTGTGCAGGCTGTCCCCTGGGCCTGCCCTGGTCCCTGAGCAGCACCACAAGGGGGCGGGACACACCCCCATGCAAATCCGCCCTGTTGCCTTCAGCAGCTCGCAGTTCTGTGTCCTCAGTGTCCCCAGGTGAGGAGGACTGCAGAGCGCACCTGTCTGGTCCAAACAGGGACGATGACTGTAAGCGCCATGGTTGTGACGGACTGAACAGTGAAGGGGGCGCTCGCCCCAGGCAGACACAGTCATTGGTGCTTTGCGAATATTAACTCCACCCACCGTCTCCTGGGCCCAGGGGGTAGGTTGCGTTACTATGGTTATCCCCAGTTTACGGATGAGGAAGCGGAGACAGGGAGAGATCGCGGGACTCGCCCACGCTGGGAAAGCGGTTGCCTAGGTCAGAGGAGGCTGGAGTGAGTGGGGTGGCCCAGGGTCTCACGAGGCTGTCCGGCAGGCCTTCCCGATGCAGAGCAGGACGTTAGGTGCCCCGCGTTCGGTGCCCGCAGCGCCGCTACTGACTGGCTGGACGACCTTAGACGCGTCCCAGGCTCTGCCAGCCCCGTGTCTGCGTCCTGCCGTGAGGACGGAGCGGTGAAGCTCAGAGATGACGCAAAGGCGGGCCCGTAGGGAGGGGCCTCTCCTCCTCTGTAAATCGTCATCTCCCTGCCCGGCTCTAAAACAAGAATGCAGCCCTGAGCTATGTGTCTGGGCGGCCACTTCCTGCGGAGACCGGCGACGGGCAGTTTCAGCGCTGGGCTCAACTGGGGCCGCTTGTCTGAGGGACAAAGGGGCCCTCTGACACCCGGGCTGGAAATAGCAAAGAATCCTCACCATTGAGGAGCTGCGTGCGCGCGTGCCCTGGGGAACCACCTCCCTTACCACCCACCACCGAGGGCGAGTCCACCCCGCCCCACGCATCCGGCCCCGCAGTCCCGTCTCAGAGCATTGCGTCTTTGTGCCAGTAGTGCAACCCTCCTGGGCTTGTCCCTCACTCCATCCACTGCGCCGGTCAGCTAGGCCAGGGAGGAAGAACCTGTGTCCTCTCTTCCCCCTTGGTTGGAGGAAGCCAGCCCTCTCACCAGCCGCCCTGTCTCCAGCTGACCCTCAGAGAGCTTCCCAGGAGTGCACAGAAGCACCAGGCCCAGTCACACCGCCGAGGCGACAAAATACTACCATGTCCTCCTTCCTGCCCAGGCTTCCCATCAGCCTTACGTCCACTGCCCTGTATGGGGACGCGTGACGCCTGTGCTCTGGCTGACCCCTCAGTGTCCTGACCATCTGGGGCAGGTCTTGCTTTCTAAGAGACTCTTGTACAGAGACGGGTGGAGATCGAGGTTCTGGGACCAGGCGTGGCCCCCCTCCCCCGCCCCATTCTTAACAACCTGACAGGGGAAAAGAAAACTATGTCCGATGTCTTGTCCTTGCAGACCCTGGAGACGATGGACACAGGGAAGCCGTTCCTTCACGCCTTCTTCATCGACCTGGAGGGCTGTATCAAGACCCTCAGATACTTCGCCGGGTGGGCGGACAAAGTGCAGGGCAGGACCATCCCCACAGGTGAGCCAGCATGGGACTTGCAGCCTCGGATGGGGTCTTCTGGGGACCCTACCTTTGCCTCCCTCCCTCCCTCCAGACGGCCACTGCAGAGCCCCTCTGACCATTTCCCCAGTCCCTTCCCGGTCCCCAAAAAGCAATGGCAACTGTGCTGATCCTTCCAAGGCATTTTACTTCTGAAATGGAGTTTGAACCGCTTCTTTGGGTGTCATCGGCTTAGAACTGACACCTTGGTGGGCTTCTGGGTTCCTCTCTTGTCTTGTTACTACTTAAAATCCTTCCGTCTAGATTAATGCATCTTCCTCCCCACCCTGCACCCTTCTTGCAGATGAGAATGTGGTGTGCTTCACCAGGCACGAGCCCGTGGGCGTGTGTGCGGCCATCACTCCCGTGAGTATCCGGCTCCCCTCGCCCCACTCCCACGGGGCCCTTAGACGCAATTCCTGGTGTGTGTTGACTCTCTGTCACCGACATTCACGGAGCCCTGGCTCTGTGGCATGGAGCTCAGTGCTTGAGGGTCATCAAGGTGGATGAGCGCCCCCCTCTGGCACTCAGGGAACACTGCTGGCATGTAACAGAAGGCAGCATGGATTCCAAACAGAGGGGCCCCAAACGGCCAGCACCCTAGGGCAGGGGCCTTCCTAACTGGGCTTTGGAGGATTAGCAAGAACATGCAGCAGGCCAAGAGCTTTGCAAGGGAAGGAACGGCCGGAGCTAAGGGTGACTTCAGTGGCAGGACAGCGGGAGGCACCCGAGCTTAGGCGGGGTGCGGAGGACGTGAGGGAGAGGATGAGCACCTGTGTCAGCTGGAGGGGTCCAGCTTCCAGTGGCCTCAGCTGCTGAGCAACCGGGACATTATTCAGTGGGTGCTGAGCAGCCTGGCGGGGGCCGGGAAGTCCCCTCTGGAGATGGCAGCGATAATGCCGCCCTCTCACGCTGGTTTGTCAGGACCGAAGGAGCTCATGTTTCGTGCGGCACTGAGAACCACGCCCAGCACACGGCGAGCGCCCCGGTGTGAGCTTTTGTCCAGCTTACTGTCACCGTGGTTTCTGTGTCTTTGCCTCTGTAGTCGAAAGATGAGGAGAAAAGCATTTCCCGAAATGGATTTCACCAAGCACCAGCTCACTGGCAGGGGTGGGGGGGAGCATGGATTCTGTGGCCTCTGAGTGGAGGAGACGCGGGTCTCATTTCTGCAGCCTTTAAGGGGCCAGCGGTGAACCTGCAAGAGTGCCCATACAATGGCATCCTCTTTGCAGAGTAACTCTCAGCATCCCCCAGAATGCACTTAGGAAGCACCAGACGGGAATGCCATTCTGATCCTTGCAAACACCTATGTTACCCCTTTATACCCCCAAATCTACACCGCGCAAAGCAAGGGCCCTCCACCGAGGCCTTCTTGGGCATCCGGAATGGGGTAGGGGGCTGGATCCTGGCCCCCCCCAATGGCCTCTGTGTCCCGTTGCAGTGGAACTTCCCCCTGCTCATGCTGGTGTGGAAGCTGGCGCCCTCCCTGTGCTGTGGGAACACGATCGTCATCAAGCCCGCCGAACAGACACCCCTCACCGCCCTTTATCTCGGCTCTCTGATCAAAGAGGTAAGACGTCCGAAAGGAAAATATTATGTGTTCTCGATAACGGCCCCGCCCCCGGGAAGCAGGCCACCGACCCGAGATAAAGCCGCCCCACCCAGTGGTACTGTGCGTGACAGCCCTGCCCGGTCACGGCTGCGTGGGAAGGGGATGACGCCTGTTTCTCTTGGCGGCTCCCGGCTCCCGCTCCTTCTGCTGCCCATGGTCACCGATCTAGAAGGAACTCCGCCCCTCCCACTGAGCCGCATGAGGAAACTCACACTCACACCTACCTTAGGGCTAAACGTTTTCTGCCGAGAATTTTTGGGAGAGTCACTTGGGAGGGAGCTGAATGTTCGGAGGTTTGGGGGGGTTCTTGCGTTCATGGTGAATGAAAGGGTCCCCTTGGAGGGGTGATCTCGGCAGCGGAAGTGGCCGTCGCCCTGCCAGGCTCGCCAGGGCTCTGCTCTCCGCACAGCCGACCTCCTCTCCCGGGCAACCGCCCCTCGGGGGACACAGGGGACCCCAAGAGACACATGGGGCAGACCCACGGGTCAGTCACCCTGTCCCCAGCTTCTGTGTTGCAAAGATTTAAAAGAAGAAATGGGAAGAAAAGAGGGATGGGAGGGGAGATTCGTTTGTGTCGCTGTTCGGCAGAGCTAACAGGATCAAGACTCAGGAAATCTCTCGCTTCCGTGGAAAGCTGGGGGCACAGCCAGTACGTCACCCGTCCCCCACTTTCTTTGACCAGTAACGCAGGGCACGAATAAGTCCTACTGATGGGACGTAGAGATCCTGCAATCCCAACTGCATGTGTCTGGGGAGAGGAAAGTCTTGAGCACCGTGCCCTGAAATCTTGCCTTTCTCACAGAATGAGTTTTAAGTAAGACCCCGGGCGCGTGGGGCAGAGCGCCCCACCTGGTTCCCCTGGCCTGGCCTCGGCTAATCTCCCAGAGGCCCCGTGCGTGCACAGCACGAGGCGCGCATGGGAAAGAGACGGCAGCCTCTACCTCTAGGCTAGGAAGTGCCAGGCCGGCCGGGGGTGACCCAAGTCCAACAAGCGAGAACTTGGAAGGGGTGACATCATGGTGCCATTTGGAACGTGAAAGGGGTAGATTTAAGGAATGAAAATGGACACTCGGAAGGGGTATCTTGCAGCTGACTCTGATCCTTGGGGGTTGCGACCAAGGTGTCCCTTTGCCCGGACACACACACAGACACACACACAGTAAAGAGTGTTCTGCTACAGAGGGCCACCTCTTGGGAGGAGGGGTGGACCCTCACCCTGGCCCAGCCTGCACCCCACCCCCCTGGCTGATGGGGCTTGGGTCCCAAGGTGATTGGGTGACCTGGGCCCACACTTCCCAGTGGGGACGCCACACTGCGTGGGGACATCCCTTAGCCATGACTCTCTCGGGCCAAGCAGGGGTCCATGCTGGGCACAGGTCCCTCCTCTTACCTGAATGCCATCTCGGTGTCCCCCAGGTCGGGTTCCCTCCGGGCGTGGTGAACATCGTGCCGGGTTTCGGGCCCACAGTGGGAGCCGCCATCTCGTCTCACCCTCAGATCAACAAGATCGCCTTCACCGGCTCCATAGAGGTAATGCCCCCCACCCCCACCCCCACCCCACTGGCCGTTGGTCACTGTGACCGCCGCAATCTGATTGGACAGCTGGGGATGTTTCCTTGGCGAAGCTAGGACTCCATTTTCCTTTGAAATCTGGCCACGTTTTCGTACGTCACAATCAGTTTCTGAAAATCACTGGTCCCGTTTCCAAACTAAATAAATATTTCGTAGGACCCAGAAGCCTTAGGAGAAACGATAGGCAAGAGCAAATAACAATGTGAAGTGGCCTTAGGATGAACAGCATCACGTGATTGAGGTTAAAGGGCAAATAAGCTGGGAGAAAGACAGCCGTAATGTACGCAGCTCCCCAAAGGCACGTATCCCTAATGTGTAAAGTGCTCCTAAAAATCAATGAAAAAAAAAAAAAGACCACAAGGTGAATGGTGGCAAAGTGGGCAGCTCAGAGGAGAGAAATGTTGACTGCCCAATGAGCTTGACCTAGTTCACTGGTAATCGGGGAAATGCAAAGTCATATGCAAATTGGACTCTTCCTTTGTTTGTCCATCAGATTGGAAAAAAATTGGAGTCTGGGCTGTACCCGAGGTGAGGGGACGATAGGCCCTCACTGTGCCTAAGGTGGAGGGTCCTGTGGCAGGACCCCCCACAAATCTGGATGTGTGCAAAACTTTTGATTTAGAGATTCCATTTCACAGCAACAACTTTGAGCAGTAATCTCATGAGTATTTGTATTTTCTATGTGATATTCTGTGCAATGTCTTTTTTAATGCATTTTGTTTTATTATTTTTAAAAAATTGTATTTATTTATTTTTAGAGAGAGGGGAAGGGAGGGAGAAAAAGAGGAAGAGAAACTTCAATGTGTGCTTGCCTCTTGCACACCCCCTACTGGGGACCTGGCCCGCAACCCAGGCATATTATATGCCCTGACTGGGAATCAAACTGGCAACCTTTTGGTTCGCAGGCCAGAGCTCAATCCACTGAGCTATGCCAGCCAGGACATATTCTGTGCAATGTTGATAGCCTTTACAGCAAGGAAAGCTGCCCTGATCGCTTGATGAAACACAGAAAAGTGAACTGTAGGGAAGTATACAACACGATCCCATTAGTTCAAGTTTGTGGAGAGAAGTAGAAATTGTCTGAAAAGGATTTCCCGGAAACTCTCACCACAGTCGCCCCTGCGGGGGCTCGGGGACGGGGGGGTCCTAGGGTGAAAGGAGATGAGAACTTCCCCCTTTGTTTACATGTATCAGTCTGTGGTATTACTTTCAATGGCACGGTACTTTCTCTGTACTTAAAACAGAAATGAGTGGCCCTGGCTGCTGTGGCTCAGTTGGTTGGAGCATCGTCCTGTAAACCAAGGGGTCATAGGTTCGATTCCCAGTCAGGGCACATTGCTAGGTTGCGGGTTCAGTCCCCATTCAGGGCGCATGTGAGAGGCAACTGATATCTCTCTCTTGCATTGATGTTTCTTTCCCTCTCTCTCTCCCTCCCTTCCCCTCTCTCTAAAAATCAATAAGCATGTCCTTGGGTAAGGATTAAAAAAAAAGGAAAAAGAAAAGAGGTGAATGAATACTTCCCATGCAATCAGTGTCCCCATCTCCTCCTAGCAGAGTGCAGCCAGGAGCCCGAGACCCCCTCCCGCGGCCAGCTGCACGACTCGGGGAGTATTGTTAGGGAACCACAGAGGGAATAGAATTGGGCCCCTGTATGACATTAAAACAGGTGACGGCAAGCTGAATGGGGCAGCAACGGCCTCATTCCTGGCTCAGCCGGGGAGACAGAGGGACAGAGAGGTGCCAGGCGTGGCCCCTGGCCTCTGGCTGTCCCCCCCCACATCTTCCCAATTCCTTACACAGCAGCAAACCCAACCCCACCCTGTCCCTGCCACCTGGCCTCTCTCTGCGACCTCAGGGCTGCTCACGGGTCTGGCCAGGGGGTGCCCTCCCTCAGCAGCCAAAGTCAGGGACAAGAGATGGGCCTCTGGCTCCCCACCCCTTGGCCCCACCAAGGAGTCACCAGCCTAGGGCAGGCAGCTTTGGCTTCTGTTGTCCACCTGGGGGCAGTCATGGTCACTGTGGCCCTCTTTCAGACCTGGGTCCAGCCATCACCCAGGAGCTGGCCGATGTTTATTTTTCACCCTCACCCAAGGACAGGTTCACTGATTGGAGAGAGAGAAAGACATCGATGTGAGAGAAAAACATTGATCGGTTGCCTCCCGTATGTGCCCTGACTGGGGATTGAACCTGCAACCTTTGGGTGCACAGGACGATGCTCCAGAAACAGAGCCACCTGGCCAGGGCAAGCTGGTGCATTTTTAAAGTGCCCTCACACCTAGTTTGCAGGAATAGCCTCAGCCCCGGAGGAGCCTAGCCCTGCCTCTCGCTACCCGCCTGGACAGGCCCCTGTGTGCACCTTGGTCTCTGAGAGTCTTCCATGGCACCTGGCTTTTTCTGTCCCCAAGATAAGTCACCAAGGGGTCCTGAGCCAAACCTACGCCCTAGCAGCATGTGAGATGACAGCAGGGAATGTTCAGGGACGTGTGGGAGGGTGAGCACCATGGGTCAGTGAGGGGTCCTCAGTATTTCACGGCCCACAGATGCTCCCCACCCCCTGCCGAGGCCCCAGTCTCCGCGTGTGTTTCCAGAGAACCGACTCCTCACCCTGCAGGTCCACCACCCTAATTCTCTAACTCTCAGCGGCTCCCTCTGGCTCTACCAGAGAGACCAACAGAACACTCTCCCTTCTTAGTGAGAGGTAGCCCTTGGTCCTTGGTCCCTGCCCTTGGTCTCCTGGGACCCTCTCCCATTCCAGCTGGACTGGCAAGCTTCTGGGAGGGCTGGTCTGCAGGACAGCAGAGAGGCTAGGTCCTCCACTGGCCACCTGTGTTGCTGTGGGTGCATCGCTGGGCCTCCCTGGGCCTCCCACTCTACCCTGAGCCGTGTGGAGCAGCTCGGACCGAGGGTGCCGGCAATATGAAGGTCTCAGGGGCTGGGAGCAGCCATGGGAGGGAGCAGACATTTGGGCCGCATCCAAGGTGTCATCTGGTCTGCTTGTCGTCCTGAAGGTTGGAAAGCTGGTGAAAGAAGCCGCTTCCCGGAGCAACCTGAAGAGGGTGACCCTGGAGCTCGGGGGGAAGAACCCCTGCATTGTGTGTGCCGATGCCGACTGTGAGTCCCCCTCCCCCCCCCCACCGCCGGGCTCTGCTGGGCTGTGGGGGACTCTGTAGTCCCGCCACGCTTCCTCAACCCAGTTCAGAACCAGCCAGAACACACATGTGCACATGAGGGGGGTGCTTCCCACCTTGGGGCATCGGTGATGGGGTGAGACACCAGCTTCATTGCAGACAGAAAGCTCCACTGCAGGGAGATGTGTCTTAGGTGGTCATCAGGGGGCGGCCTGGTCCTGCCCTTCAGGGTTAAGTTTACCTTCCCATCCCCTGTGGACAAAGTCAGCTTCTTCTCGGAGACCCCTGAGCGGGAAGGGATGGGACGGGGGACAAACAAAGGAAGGACAGGGCAGGTGGGTCCCACGTATTATCCATTCTACCCTCCGAGCCGGTCTCTCTCGAGTGCGTTCAAGCTCTCCAGAGACTTGAACTGGCCTCCCCCGCCACCTCTTCCCCTGAAGCCACTCAGGGTCCTATTTACCTGTTGCAAGCCACAGCCTCCCCCACCTGCTCCTCCTTTGTGCCAGAAATTCCTTCCAGGCGAGAACAAAGCCTTCCATTCCACACTCAGATAAGCTTGGAATGGCAACTATCCCTGAGAAAAATGTGCTCAGTGCGGTTTCTCGCTGATGCGTCAGTGGCGGATGGCATTGGCTGGCCTTGGAGCTGGTCTTCCGTGTGAGAGCAAGGACTGTGCTTTCACACTGCTTATTGTTATACGTTACTATTGCTATTATGATGTTCCCCGAGCCCGCGCTTCCCCGTGGAAGCACCCGGACTGTTGCTATTGGTTTCTGGAGCCACGAGGGCGTTGCTGCCCTGGGACCCACATTCGAAGTGCCTAAATGCCAGGCCCAAAGAGGGCCAGGACTCCTGTTTTGCTGAGTGCCTCCCTCTCTGGGTTCCTCCATCTGCACCTCAGCTCCCCCTGCTTTTCCTCCCAGTGGAAAGACTACAGCTCGAACCCAAGGCTCCTTCTGCTGGAGGGTGGGTTGGACATTGCCCTCCCCCATCTGTGGGGGCCGTGCTGGTCCACACAGTGAAACCCTGATGTCCCTGGCGTGCCCGGTATGGGGGTCAATGACCACATGCCGCCAGCCCCCACCGCTGCGGCCACCGTCCCGGCTCCCGCCAGGAAACAAACTAGTTTGTTGGGAGGAAGGGCGTGTTTAAGTCGGCACCAACAATGGGAGGTGCAGGGAGGGGCGGGAACCTTGGGATGCTATCCTGGGCCCCACACCGACTTACGGAGAAGCCAGTGAGCGACAGCCTGGCTCTCAAAGCCAAGGGCAGCATTGCTTGGAGTTCGCCCAAGAGCAATGCTGGATGTGGGTGGATCACCCCCGCCCCCCCATGCACCTGCCCAGGAGGGTCCTTGCATCTTCTCTGTGCAGAGGAAAGTACTCAGTGTGTGTGGTGGTGGTGGAGAGGGGGATGTACATTCAGCAACCCCCGAATGTAAAAGACACCCCACTTAGCATTCGTAGCCATGAAGCCGGTCCCCCAAAATCTGACTCACTAAGCACCCTCTAGCTCCGTCTCAGTCCCTGGTTTTAATTCAGTGCCATTCAGCCTGTGATTCTCTGCAGTTCAGATCCAGGCCTCGTCCAGCCGAGTCAGTGCTTTCTCTCCCTTTTTTAACTCTTGGAAGTCACACACGGTTTTATAGTCACTGAGTCAGACCCTTCCTGCCACACAAGGCGGGACATTTGGGCCCCTTCAACAGTCCTTGCTCCTTGGCCTACCCCAATACTTAGCAAAGGTTATTCTAGAGGATGCCAGTCCTCCAAAAAAGGGGGGCCACGAGCCAGTGAAATGGGGGCTGCCACACTCTCTGAGCTCAGGAGCATCGTGGGGACCTCTTCAACCCCAAACTCAGCGGACCCCGAAGTCCTTGTGCCCGTCCCCCATGCTTGGGACACGGCTGAGAACGAAGTTCGTGGCTGGGGTCCCGGAGCCCGTTTCCTTGCGCGCATGGTGAGACCCGCAGCCGCCGCGGCCGGTCCCGGCCTCACGGTCTAACCGCCTCCGTCCCTGTCCCTGCAGTGGAGTTGGCCGTGGAGTGCGCCCACCAGGGAGTGTTCTTCAACCAAGGCCAGTGCTGCACAGCCGCCTCCCGGGTGTTCGTGGAGGAGCAGGTCTACCCGGAGTTCGTCCGGAGGAGCGTGGAGTACGCCAAGAAACGGTCCGTCGGAGACCCCTTCGACGCCCGGACGGAGCAGGGGCCCCAGGTAACCTCCCGACGTGCGGGAACCCGCGGTGCGTGTCTGGGGGCGGAACCAGGCGGTCCCTTGGACCCTGGCCTGGGCCGCTCTGGTGGGCTGTGACTCCAGGGCCCCCCGCCAATGCCAAAGCGGGGGGCTGACTTGCCTTCCCACTTAAGGCTTCCGCTGAGACGCCGACCGATGGTGGTGCAATTGCATCTCCGTCCGGTCTCAGTGCGGCTTTGAAATGGGGCTGGACACAAAGAGGCTTTGCTTTCTGCAGCCATACTCGGGGCCTCGCCAGGAGTGGGGGCTGTCCCCGGTCTGGAAGGCCATGTGCCTACACCCTCCGACCGCAAGACTGCTGCCCCTTCTGTGAGCCATTGGGGTGCCCCAAAGGGAGCCCTGGGCAGAAGGCTCTCTTGCCTGGCTGGTCTTCCCACAGAAGAGGGTTTGTCACCTGACCACAGGGCAGCTGACACAGGTGGGGGCAGTGCCTGGGGCCGGTGGCCTCAGCCCAGATGCCCTCAAGCCCACGGGCGTTACAGAGGGTAAGCATCAGAAACCACAACATCCCAGCACAGGGAGCTCGGTGGGAGGGGGGGACGGTGCGGGGGGGGGGGGGGGCCGGGTTTGAGAAGCCAGCAGCAAAATGAAAATGATCATAACCACAGGGTTTTATAACCTCTTTAAAAGGGCACATCCCGTATCACTTTCTCCCTCACGACGCAGTCCAGCCCACGGATAAATATTTAAAAGAGGGCGGCCTGACCATCCCATGCATTATTGAAACAGAGCTCAGTGGCAGCCTGCCGCGCCTGCAGCCAAAGACTTGCCCCGGCCAGGAAGTTTCAAATCACGTGTCCGGACTCGGCGGCTCGCTGCCTGCCCGCCCGCCACACCGCGTGTTTACACGGGACGCCGCCGATCTGGGCACTGAGTTGGCCCTGCGACCGCACGAAAGGTCACGCACTCCTTCCAAACCTCAGTTTCCTCGGCTGGAAACTGGGAGTGATGGATGGCTGTTTTGATCATTTCAAGGCAGCGAGGATGTTGTTATTTTTTAAAGCCAGGAGCGTGAATAATGAGTGACAGCCCCCCCCACCCCGATCTGAGCAGCCGTGAATGACGGTGCGTGACTTGCTGGGGGTGTGGTGGCTGGGGGACGCACGAGGTGCGTTCTGGCCATGCTGCCCACCCTGGCGGTGCCCCAGCCCACACGCTCGGCGGCTCTGATGCCACGTGACCCTGGCTAAGAGCACTATCCCTCTGCTTGTGGCCAATGCTCCCCACTCTGTCGGTGACACGGAGCGACCTTGGCTGGGTTTCAGGTCTACATACAAACCCGGCCCCCAGGCATGAACCCAGTCCACGGTGGGTGACTGGGAAGCGGATCCAGACCCCATGGGAAACTGTGTGGGCGGGTCCTGGGCTGAAGGAAACTCCGTTACCCCCTCATTATGCATAAGTCTCTTTCCAAGGCTCCTCCGGGCTTGGCTTTGGAAGCCAGAGAGAGAAACCTCTTCCAGGACGGCAGTCCAGGCAGGACGGGTGTTGATTTCATCAGTGCTTTTGATGCCTCCGCTGGAAGTCCTTTCTGAAAGCTCACTGAGAGCCGCCCGGCCTCAGCGTATTATTTTAGGATGCTCTTGGGGTTTTTTCTTCCCCCCAAAGTGCTTTTTCATCTACGTTAATAAGATTCAACTCGGGGAGGACTAACAGCTGTCTAAATAGTCGGGTCTGTCTCACGCCCGTCAAACAGCTCCGTGACCTAGATCCTCGCCCGCTGCAGGCAAACCACGGGCTGGGACGCTCCAAAATCACTCAGGTTCCTTCGGCAACTGAGCTGCGAGGCACGTAAACATCACGTGGGCTGCCTGGCGGGGCCGATCCGGCGTCCTTCCCCCCGGGGGCCAAAGTCAGCCTGTGACCTGTCCTTCAGGGGCCGTGTTTCTCTCGCCGGGAGCCGCCAGGGAGAGTCGAGTCTGGGTGTGTATAGAGCGGTCCGTGGGGGCCCAGTACGGCCTGCAGGACAGCCGGGCGTGGGGCCCGGTCTTCCCTGGCCAGCGGCCACCCAGAACCTGTAGTCTGCTGAGGCCGGAAAAGCCCTCGTGGTCTCCCAGCAGGAGGCGAGAGTCGCACCTGCAACTTCCAACCCAAGACTCGGTCCCACCAGAGGGAAGTTGAGGACACCCTGAGTCATCACGGTGGCAGTCACTTGAATTACGTTTTTCAGTGGGCATGCACACCCGTGGGCCAGCACCCCAACCACGTGGAAAAGCCGCTCCTGAGCCCGCTTCCTTCCCTTCCCCCGCTGGGTACCCCACATGCTCAGTTTCTGGGGTGCCGCTCTACAATTTCTTCATGCGTCTGCCAGCACCCGTGGAGATGCACTCTGATCCCCCCCCCACCCCGTTCCACCCAAAAGATAACTGTGGTATCTGAACTGTCTTACACCTGAGTTTCCATCCCCCTACCAAGAAACCAGAAGAGCATTCGGGTCGAGTCCGTGGGAACCTGCCTTGTCCTTTGCCCCACACACGTAGAACGCTGCCGTAAGAATCGGCCAGCATCCCAGGGGCATGGTCACGCAAACTCGTGGGCGTATGCGGTGACGTGCAATGCCACCGAGTGTGTCCTTCCATGCACATGCCAGGGAACCCACGGGACAGGTTCCCCGAGTGGGGCTGCCGGGCCAGAGCGCACCTGTCGCTTGTACCAGCATTGCCGCGTGGACGTCCCGGACGGCGGCTCAGAGCATGCTCCCACCGGCCGTGCAGGAGGAGCTGGTCTGTCCATCCAGACTCACTCGCGGAGTGTGGGGTGTCGCCCGTTGGATAGTTAGAAACGGCATCCCACTTGGCTTCCCAGTGCTTGTGTCTCTCACGATGAGTCAGGTGCAACGCCTTGTCATGCGTTCAGAAGCCACCTGTGCTTCCTTCCCTTTCGGCTGCGCCCGCGGTGGGCGTATTTTGCTGTGGTGTCGCTCATCATTTTTCTTGTCACTTCTAGGAGCTGTCTACACCCCAGAGAGACTGGCTCGTTTCTGTGATATGACTGGTGGATTTTTTCCCATTTATGTTCCCCTTTGACTTGCTTACGATGTTGTTGCCTTTTTTTTTTAACATACTCAAATGTATCAGGGTTTTTTTTTTGTTTGTTTGTTTGTTTGTTCTTTTGGCTTCTGGATTTTGAGTCACAGACATGCCATCAGCTCCCCAAGTTTATAGATGCAAGTCTTGCCTGTGAGAGAACTTGAAAACGTTTCTGCTCTCATTGTCCCTGGTCAAGTCTTTGGTCTCTTTGGAATTTATCCTGGTGGAAGGTGTGAGACAGGGGTCCACCTTGGCATTTTAATGGGTGACCACACTTCACGAGTGGACTGGTCACTGATGGGCATGGTTGATGCCCATCTCTTCTCGCAAAGCCGACCTGTTCCTCGGTGAGAGCCAACCAAACACACCTTTGGGTTTGCTTTTTTTTTTTTTAACTGAAATTTGTTTAAGTGAAACCAGATTTTCTATCTACAAAGCTCAGCTACAGCAAACCTATCAAAGCTCTCTCTCTCCCAGTCGAAGAGGAGAGGCTAGCAGCAGGGTCATGGTCAAGACCAGACCCCCCCCCTCCATGGATTTGGGAAAAAGGACCAGTGGGGGTGGGGAGGGCACTCTGCACCATGAGACAGTCCCCCAAAGGGGTGCCGTCTGACTGCTGGGTGGGCACCACGCCCATAAAAGCTCGGTGTCAGGATGGTGGAACAGGGCACGACCCAGCTGGGGAGACCCCTAGAACAGGTGTCAAATGATGGGGGCTTCCTGGAGAGCTGGCTCCCTGCCCACCAAGGAGCAGCAGCCCCTCCAGCCCACCTTGAGCCTCATCCACTCTGTCTCCGGGGATGCTGCTGAGTCAGGTGGGCAGCTTTCATTTTTTCTTCTTCTCTGCAACATGGGCGGAGACTTCCAACAACTGTTCCCCTGACCCACGGTGCCCTGTGAGCAGGGCGCAGCATTGCTAGATACAACACATGGCGCCCAGTTAGATTGGAAGGTGGAATAAATGGTGAACACATTTTTAGCATAACTCTCTGCCAAGGACTGTTTGGGAGATACTTCTACCAGAAAAATTGTGCCTTGGGTTTCAGAAATTCAGATTTAACTGGGTGTCCTGTAGTTTTATTGGCTAAACCTGGCAACCCTAGCAGGATGCATCGAGTTGGAAAGCAAATAATAAGGCCACTCAGGTCTGGTTTTATGCACGGATTTGCCTGGTAGCAAGGAGGGGCCAGGCGTACGGACAAACCCCACACCTGGCGAGGGTGAGCCGAGCCCGTCTCCAGCTCTCTCCCGCCCCAGAGAGCCTAGAATTGTACATCAGGAACAGTCGCATCCAAGGCACATTTGCTGCGTGAATGTACAACTTGGCAAGAATGTTTAGGGGCAAGACAGCTGACCCTCCTGAAGGCCGTTGGACGCGTAAGGTGGCAGCCACCACCTGGAAGGAAGCTCACCACTTCTTCCTGTTGTGTCTTACAGATTGACCAAACCCAGTTCGACAAGATCCTGGATCTGATCGAGAGCGGGAAGAAGGAGGGAGCCAAGCTGGAATGTGGGGGCTCGGCCATGGAAGACAGGGGACTCTACATCAAGCCCACCGTGTTCTCAGAAGTCACCGACACCATGCGGATTGCCAGAGAGGAGGTAGCAGGGCTGCAGGCAAAGCCGAGGCCCACAGGGCCCGGCGCTGAGCAGGGGAGGAGGGGAAGCTGGGCTCTTCACACGTGGGGACCGCTCTGGGGCTCAGCGATTCCCGGAGGCTTTGTGAGGGGAGCATTTTTTGTGTCTGGTGTATCCATTCCCTTTCCATTGGGGTCCTTAGGGAAGCCATCTTGGCCCCCCACCCCCCACTTCTGGAACTCCCTAGCCCTGTATGGAAGGTACAGAGTATGCCCTCACTCCCCTGGTCCACTCATCTCTCATCACCTCTAGGGAACACCAGTCTCTCTCTGTTTTCTAACACATCTTGGGGTGGAAGGCTATTGAGATCATTGAGGTCCCACCTGGATCGTGGGCTTAGGGCCCAACACTGCCTTCAGTCTCTCGGACTGAAGTTCAATGACACGTGTTCATTCAAAGAACACATCACAGATCAAATTCTCTCTCGAGATTTTCCATCATGTGCATCCTTGGAAATGGTGGAAGCTTAGGCCATCCCGGTAGGGGTGGACCTCTCACTTTGTCTTCCAATCCCACTCGGACACTTGATGGAAACCAGTTCCCACCCCGGTCCCAGGTGGTCGGACCCCGGGATGAGAGAGTGAATCACTGCCAAGGGCATTTTGTGGATTTTCTCCTTGAGTTTTTATGGGTCATTAGCACTACCGTGGTTGCCTCACCCCCAGCTCTTGAACCCGCTCCTGGGACCCATGACAAGAGCTCCCTGGGAATGTGGGAAGGTATTCGGCAGGTTGGCGCTGGCCTGCGGTGTTCCAATCATGCTGCACAGTGAATCGACTCCCACCCTCCTTCAAAACTAGCTTTATGTGTGTGCAGCCTCTAGCTCTAGCTTTTCCTTCTCGTGGCTGTGTCCTCGGCTCCCTCCCCTGGGAGTGGGTGAAATCATCTTGGGGCATCCTCACTGGTGGAAAACACAACTCCAAGATGGGTCAGGGCCCACAGTCCTCCATCTGTGCCCATGCACCCCATTCAAGACAACTCCCCGAGAAGCATGTCCAAGGGTTTTTGCCTTTTGCGCATCTGAGCACGCACCCCTCCAAAGCCCGACGCCCCAATGTCAGTGAGAGATCTGAAACCCAATATATACTTTGGGTTGTAATTTCTTATCCCTGTTTCATTTGAACCCTTCCCTTCAGATTGCAATGAATACATAGCTAAAAATGTCCTTGAACGTCGTGACTTTCTTGCCCATTTTTTTTGAGCACTTAGGCTACAAGGCAAGGCAGGCGACAAGGAAACGCCTCTGTGTTTCACTGCAATGTACCTCTCACTGCCATTCTTGCAATCCATCCCAGATTTTCGGGCCGGTGCAGCCGATTCTGAAGTTCAAAACCATTGAAGAAGTGATCCAAAGAGCGAACAGCCTGGAATACGGGCTCACGGCAGCCGTGTTCACCAAAAACCTCGACAAAGCCCTAAAGCTGGCCTCCGCCTTGGAGTCCGGCACTGTCTGGTGAGTAGCTGGCGTGGGTTTTGGCTCTGCTGAGCGGCGGGCTTGCCAGCTCTGGGACTCGTGTGTTAACAGAGAGCTTCTAGTCAGTCATCTGTTAGGGGCCAAGCAAGCACTGTCTTTGCTCAGCTGGATCCTTGAGACCGCCGTTGGAGATAGGTACCATTGCCGTCTCCACTTTACACGTGAGGAACTGTAGGCACAGAGAGGTGGAGCGACCTGCCTGGGGTCACACAGCGTCCCACAGCTAGCACGTGGCACAGTGGGACTCAGGGCCCGCCACCCAGCTGCAGTGGCTTTATGTTCTTATTCTGATTGTAAAAGCAGCTCATGCTTCTGTGCAAAGTATGCGTGGAAGATCCCTGTTCACCCTTAATTCTATAGATTACAGTGTTTTCCTTTTGAAGGGAATATTAGGTGGTAAGGGTGAACTGGACTCAGAGAGGCTAATACAGCCCAGATCCAAGAGGCAAGCAGCAGCGGAACTCTGAGGTCATTCTGTCCATGTCAAATCTAATTCTTAGTCCCCTGCACCAGGATTTTCCTTTCCTTCCCTGTCTTCTTGTCATCCCTTCCTGTAAAGTGAAAGCTTTGTACTTAAGGATATTCGAATCTCATTGTCTGGTGGGAAGAACGAGAAGGCGGAAGTCAAAAGCACACCATTTCCACGGTTAGAGCTCTGACAAAAAGTCGTTCTTTCAGCAACGCCCTGCAGCGAGCCCCTTGCAGCCGGACCGCCCAAGACCCAGGCGGGCTCCATCCAGGTAACTGCTAATGTCTTCTCATTCTCTCTCCAGGATCAACTGCTACAATGCCCTCTACGCGCAGGCTCCGTTCGGTGGCTTTAAAATGTCGGGAAATGGCAGAGAATTGTAAGTGTTTCTGTCCCTCCACGCCTGCTGGCAGGGTGCATGCGATGCTCCAGCCTGTCTCTGTGTCTCCCTCTGGGGCAGCTGTGTCACCACGGCTGGTGGCCTTCTCTCCCTGTGGGGCTGGGCTGTGGGCCTTCCCCGTCCTGGCTCCCCATCCATGCTCCCCTTCAGGCTCTGCCCCGTCAGGCCCCAGGACTCAGCTGCAGCCTCGGCTTCTGTGTCTCTGAAGCACCTATGACAATGTGGGCACATTCAGTAGATACACAGTGGACATGAGGGCATGGGCAAAACTGGAAAAGTGCACTTTTTGCCAGACGCAGAATGTCGTTACTCACTCAAACCCCTGGCCCTCGCTCAGCGAGGAAGATAGGCTCTCTCCCAGGCTGGGCTCGGGCTCTGCCTGTCATGGGCAGAGGCCCCAGGGACAGACCATGGGCATCTTGGCTCCTTCTCAGTGCCTCGTCAGGAGGCCTGAGTGACATCTTCCTCCAGGAGTCCTGGTTCCATCAGACCCCCAGTGTACTCCTTCCTGGTTCCCTTTGGCCTTTTATTTATTTATTTATTTATTTATTTATTTATTTTTTATAGAAGGGAAAGGAGGGAGAAAGAGGGAGAGAAACATCAATATGTGGTTGCCTCTTGCACGCCCCCTACTGGGGACCTGATGGCAACCCAGGTATGTGCCCTGACTGGGAATCGAACCGGCGACCCTTTGGTTCTCAGGCCGGCACTCAAGCCACTGAGCCACACCAGCCAGGGCCCTTTGGTCTTGCCCATGGGGCACATGTGGTCATGGGTCCTCCTTCATCAGCTGCCTTCAGCCAGGCAGGTTGGGACAGCTGGGGGACCAGAACAGCCCTCCCGCAGCCAGAACTGCAGTCCCCACAGCAGATGTCTTTGGATGTCGAAGCAGCGGGAAGTGTGTGCGGGGCCCACCTGACTCCCAGTGTGTGCTGGCTCACACTGACTACCACTCCCTGTCCTCACCCGCGTCACCTCTGTGTCCCATCCCACCCACCTGGCGATGCTTCCAAATTCTTAGCACCCCTCTGCCTGGTGCAGAGCAGGGCTGGGCGAGTACCCGCTGAACACAGTCCATATTTCTGCTGATGAGCCACAGTCGGGACTTTTTTGAATGTCTGGGCTTTTTTTGTTTTTTGGTTTTTTTGACCCTTGGCATGTATTTTCCCAAGGCTTTTGATAAAGTACTTTAACATAACTCACCAGGAGCCTGGAAAAGGACTTGAAAACCAATTTCCATTTTCAGTTGTCTGTAATTAATGTCTTCATGTTGCAATAAGTTCCCCTTTCTGCTGCTGGAACGCTGGACGGTGGATTCCATGGTTTTCCCCACCCCCGGCCGCCCAGGCCGGGCTGGCGGTGTGCCGCCCACCCACGGGCACTCCAGGACCAGTTCCTGCGCAGGTCTTGTGAAGAAGCCCGCAGTTCTCTTCCTTCAGGGCGCCTTTCTTCGTTTTTTGCTTTGCTTTGCAATAAAAGTAATACAGTCACACACAAAAAAAAAATCCACACAGGCCCTGGCTGGTGCAGCTCAGCTGGTTGGAGCATCAGCCCGAAAGACCAAGAGGTCAAGAGGCGCATGCCCAGGTTGCAGGTTCGATTCCCGGTCAGGGCGTGGACGAGAAGGCAGCCAATCAATGTTTCTCTCTCACATTGACAGTTCTCTCTCTAACCCTTCCTCTCTCTCTAAAAAGCAACATGAACAAATGTCCTCGGGTGAGGATAAAAAAATTTTAAAGGTTATCGTGCATTTTCTATGCACATAACAGATGCAGAGGGGTGTGATCTTTTCTGTCTCCAGATGAAATGGGAGCAAACTACTTCTCACTCTTCAGGGCGAGCTTTGGCTGTGCTATTCGTTTTACGGGTGGTCGCCTAGGGTGGACTTTTGTGTTATTTCCGAGTGGTTTTGCTCTTACTTGTCATGCCAGCGTTCATCCCTGTGCGCGAATCTTTACCCACCTGTGGGGATGTGGTGCTGGAAAGGGTCACCGGGGCTCTGCCACACCCAATGCAATGACGTTCATCGCAGACGCTCGCTCCACGGCTGCGGCCACTCCTGTGTCCAGTGCTGACACCTCCTCCCCTGGCCTCACCCTGGCCTCATTCTTCTTACAGCTGGTCTCCAGCTGTGTGCTCCGAGGCCAGTCCAGGCCATCTGTGTCCCTGGCCCTCGTGGGTCCTCTGGCCACTGCTCAGGCCGTGGCATTGAGCTCCTGCCTCTTCCATGTCTTCAGTGTCTCCAGCTAAAAGTCATAAATCCAGAGTAATTCACCTCTTTTAAAAATTTTTAAATTTTTTTAAAGATTGTATTTATCTGTTTTTAGAGAAAGGGGGAAGGAGGGAAAAAGAGAGGGAGAGAAACATCAATGTGTGGTTGCCTCTCACATGCCCCAAACGGGGGAGCGGGCATGCCACCCAGGCATGTGCCCTGACTGGGAATCGAACTGGTGGCCCTTTGGTTCTCAGGACAGCGCTCACGCTCAAGCCACTGAGCCACACCAGCCACGGCTCTTTAAAAAAAAAAAAATCCTTACCCGAGGATATGTTCACTGATATTTTAGAGAGAGAGGGAGGGGAGCGAGGGAGAGAGAAAAACATCAATGTGAAAGGGAAACATCGATCAGTTACCTCCCCTACACGCCCTGACCAGGGACTGAACCTGCAACCCAAGTATGTGCCCTGATCGGGAATTGAACCCACAACCTTTTGGTGCTTGGGACAACGCTCCAACCCACTGAGCAACCCAGTCAGGACCACCTCTTTTTCTGTTCTCTTTTTCTTTTTAATCCCCTTCATTTTCTAAAGGCAAACCTAGTTCTTCTGAATATTTCAAAATCATCACACACAAAAAGTTTAAACTTAAGTTACACACCCAGTTCCTTAAACCTACACACGGAAGCACAATCCTAGCAATTACTCTATTGCGCGTTTCGGTGTTTTGCATGAATTCCAAATGGCCCAGCGGATCCCAAGGTGTCCAGCGTGAGAATGCGGTTCCCAGGGAAGGGCCGAGCGACATGCTCAGTTTGTATGTCCCTCTCTTTTCTGGTCACAGAGGTGAATACGCGCTGGCCGAATACACCGAAGTAAAAACCGTCACCATCAAACTGGACCCCAAGAACCCCTGAGGGAAGGGCGGGCTCTTTCCTCCGACATCTGACAGCTGAATGTGGCCCATCACACCTGCCGAAGAAAAAGTGCTATTCCTGACCTTCCTGGCCCACTTTCTTCCGGAGACCTTTCCACTGGACGGGGACGATTTTTTTTTCCTCTAGCACATTCCTGTTGGGGGTGCAGTTGCAGCCCTGCCTGGGGGTCGGGGGGGGCGCTGTTGGGTATTTCCCTCTTCCCCTTTCAACCACATCCCCTGAGACAGTGATGGGGCTCGGGGGCGCTGCCAACAGGAAGTGGTATTTGAAGTATCCAGCAGTCACTTAAAAATGCTCTACCGACTCTTCTTAGGGAAAAATTAGGAGAAACCTCCCTGTATGCTCTAAAAAACAGGGCCCTGTACCTGCAGGTCTTCGGGGGTCATCTGCCCTCAGAACAAGCCCCTCCTTCCATTTAGTTCCGAAAAGGAATGGCACTAAGTTAAAAAACAAACAAACGAGCAAACAAACGAACAGAATTGCAAGGATCCCATATGGGGCGCTGTGGGGAAGCAAGTACCGCGGAAGGTTACTGAAAGTCTTGGGTGAGAACGAGGTGGGTGTACCGGGACTACACCTTGGCACTGACCTTGGGACTCAGCTTAAAACCAACACGGCCTTTGGAACTTGACCGGACGACCAGCCCAAAGGGCTTATCTAAAACGATGTCCGTGTCTACCTTAACCAAGGCACATTCTCAGGCAGAGAGCATCGCTAGCGTCCCTCACTGTCACCGCTAAGCACCCAACGCTCTGAGACTTAAAACAGCAGAGCAAATACTAGGATAATTAAGTCCCGCATTTCACAAACCAGAGCTGTAATTCGCTTTTGCAAACTATGCGTTTCTACCAGTTGGATTCATGGATGATAAACCTGGGTCGTTCTTCGTGTTTCCAGCGGTGATTTTAGATCAGTAAAACATAGAGGTTACCACGGCTGCTGTTATACTACAGCCCTGGTTTCTTCAAGTCCTATCTTGATATAAATTCATGATTAATCAGCATAGAACACCCAGACTCCTCAGGGGAACTGGATTTCCTACTAAAGCGGTCTGATTTCTGCCCTAACAGGTTGTGAGTTTCTCAGTTCCTCTCTGGGCAATTACAGCTTTAACTTGGAAAACGGAAGGTGGTCCCAGTGTGGCTTTCAGAAAACAAAACCAGACTTCAATTGGATTCTCTTAAGAACCAAAAGCAAACTTTTTTTGGCTGTTATGAACTAGTCCTTTTCTAATGGTGCTTCTGTTTGAGAATTCAGTTATGTTTTGAGAATTCAGTTGGGGGAGGGACGATAATAAAATGGCAGTCTGTGTCCAAACCAGTGTAGGTATAGAGAAAGTCCTATATGAAATTGGGTTATTATTCTTGCTGGAAATACACAACACACTCTTCACTGTCCCCTCCGCACCAGTTAGCACTTACCACTTACACTGTCAGTAACCTGTTAAATCAGGATTTGACTCATACACTGAATTTTCAGGATTTTATCTCAAGCAATTATCGACACTAACCTTGATAGTGGTACATTAGAGGATTCTTATTCTTTCATTGTACAATAACGCCTTTAATATGAAATGGTACATTATTTATAATGGGTATAGTTAATGTATCTTTTTATAGATGTAAGTAAACAGAGGTGGTATATTTAACCTTCTGTAATATACTGTATTTAGAAATGGAAGTCTATATAGGATTAGATTTCACTTCTTTGAAGGTTTACTCCTGTGGTACGGTTTAAAAATCTTTTGGCCTGGGGATTCTGATCCTAACTGCAGATTGTGTTAACAATGCAACAACCTTAAAATAAAGCTGGATATTTGAGAAATGTCATTTTTTTTTCATTTAAGGACCCAATCCATTTTCATCCTATGGCTGACCTTTCTCCTTTTTTTAAACCTTCTGTACAAAATGGCTTCTGATAAAGCAGAACCAATAACTTAAGAACAAAATAACATTGGTTCAATTGATTCGAGGTTCATCGATTCAAGGCTCAGGCCGAGACTTGAGCCAGAGTGTGAAATCCACTTCCAGGTTTTAGGGGTTGACCAGGCAGCCAGCTCAGCCTCAGAGGCAAAATGTAAGCTATCATCCTAGTCTCTTTTTACCATGAATTGATAAGGATGCCAGTGTGGACAATGGCAGGGGACATTGCGTGGGCATATAGGGTATGCACAAGCCCCCACTTTGTCCCTTTTCTCCATGAGGACTTAGGTATTGGGTTTAATTTACCTTAAGTTTCTTTTTTTAATGTTTAAAAAGATTTTATTTATTTTTTTAGAGAGGGAAGGGAGGGAGAAAGAGAGAGAGAGAAACATCAATGTGCGGTTGCTGGGAGTCATGGCCTGCAACCCAGGCATGTACCCTGACTGGGAATCGAACCTGCAACACTTTGGTTCGCAGCTGGCGCTCAGTCCACTGAGCTATGCCAGCCAGGTAATTTACCTTAAATTTCTAAGGCTTCAAACAATGCAGCCTCAGTCACCAAGTCACAAGCTGACACTGAGGTTGGACCAAGAACATGCCCTGTCCTTGGTCTGGTTCCCCCATGTCCAACCTGTGCATTTCATGGTGAAAGTCTAGACCGCTTTGGCCATGCGGCGACAGAGCACCACACTTTAAGAGAAAATTTACGAGACACTTGGGTCAGACGCCTTGTAATGGAAGCACTCGTGGATGTGTTCGTGTATTTAGAAACCTCCAATTTCTCAGTCTAAATGGGAACAGGAAATTCTAGGGAAATGACCTCTCTTTCACCAGAGCATGACCCTCTGAAGGGAGAGATTCTGGAGGCACAGATCAGCTGTTGTGCGTGTGCGTGCGTGTGTGCGCAGGCAGTTGTGTGCCTGTGGGGGTGAGGCACGGGGGGAGGTGGGCACCCCCTCTGAAAGCCCACGCTCTGGAATGTCCTAGCTTCTTGTGGTGGTGGACGAAGCCATTTTAATGTCCTTGCTCTTAGCAGCAAGTGGCTGGCCTGAGTTTGAAAGTGGATGATGAGGGACGTTGAAAACAGTGTCTGCGGAGGAAAGTCTGAGGAAACTGAGTACCCAGTTGGGGAAAAAAAAAAAAAACAGGACTAGAAGACCCCAAATGGGGCAAGACAATCACGATTCTTTCAGAAGGCAGAAATGTTGGATGGGGGGTGTGGCGGGGGGGTGGGGTAGCTTCCAGCTGACCCCACCTTAGGAAGGGGTCATTCCAACTTGAGATACTGAGAATCAAGGTAGGATGTGGAGCAAAGGTTAGAAAATCAGGGGTCAAGAGGAAGAAACTGACCTGTAAGCAAACTTCCCCAGGCAAATCTGTGACTAACTCATCCTAATCAATAGAGTTAAGTGCTGAGATAGAACCGACTCGAAAGAGGCCACCTGTGTACCAGGTGTCCCGGCAATGTTTTCTACATTGCAAGCATTCCCAACCTATTCTCCCAATCTCATATCAGAGGGAAGTTGAGTTGCTGGAATCCGAAGAATCCGCGCCTGCTCCTGTCTGCCCCGATGCTGGGCATGCGCCCCCTCACCGCGCCGCTAGATGGCGCGGCCGCACGCCCCGAAGGCGCAGCACCGTGGTGGAGGGGCTCACTCAGCACTGCGGCCACCACGCCCTGCAAATTATTAGGGACTCTTCCGCAGCCATCGTACTGTTGATTCTTTTGGGGGTTTTTTGTGTGTTTTTTCCCAGAATGGAATTAGGATCGCATTGGTGAGGACAGGATTGCAAAACTGCATCCAGTCTTCTGGAAGGGCGCCCCGTGGCAGGAGATCTGGAGGGGCAGTTTCTTAGGGAGCGAAGCGAAGCTACCCCGTGGTCCCCCAGCCCGCCAGGGGCCCCAGGAGCCGTTCAAAAGTGGGGCTTGTCTGCTACGTTGTGTGGGGCGGCCCTCTGGCTGCCCCGCTTTGGTGAAATGCCAGAGAGGGTGGTGGCGATCTGTCTCTATGCCTCGCGCTAAATCCTAGGAATGTCCCAGTCGTGGCATTGCATGCGAGGAGCCTCCCGCGCGGTCCAAGCAGGCTTCTCTTTCTCCCCTGGGCGCCCGGGGCCGAGTCCGACGCCCGCCTGCAGCGTGAACGTGCATCTTTACGCTCTGCGTTTCGGTAATGGCCTCCGCAGGGTGATGAATACACTTGGATCGGGTTGAAACAGAATCGATCTCCAACGTCCTATACCATGTTTTACCTACACGTCCCCCAAAGAGCTCCAGTTTAAAATAATTCACCGAACAGTGACATAGCGGTACGCACCCATACCTAAGTGAGTCAATTCCCGTATGGGAGTGGCGCGGTGTGCAAATATTGCCGCTTTAAAAACACAGATTTCTGTACTGCCCTACAGAGTTGAGCGCGAATAAATGTTCCCTGCCTTTTTTTTTTTTTTTTTTTTTTTACTATGTACTGCCAGAGCATATGGAGAGTACACGCAAGTCAGAGGTGAGTCCGCGGGTTCGGCTGCGGAGCGCAGTGGAAACTGGATCGGGCCAAGAACCGGCCCATCCTATGGCCCCGCCGGCCCCGCGGGCACCCGGACCTGGTGGGGACAACGTGTCAGAAGAGCCCGTGGGCTCTATCATCTTCCGGGCAGGAGCCGTGAATTTGACCGCCTCTGGTTGCCAGCTAGGGAAACTGAGGCGGGCCAGCGGGGGGCGGGGGGGGGGACTCCCGTGCGGATTCCGGGAGAAGCTGCGGCGGCGGATCTTCGCCCTGCGAGCTCTTCGCGCCGCCCGCCCGCCCGTGAGTCCGCCTCCTGCCCTCCCCGCCCGCTGGCGGCGGCAGGATTGAGGAAGTGCGTCTGGGCTCGGCCCGGCCCCGCGCGCGCGGCCGGAGCGCAGGGGGCGGAGGGCAGTGGCACCGCCAGGCCCTGGCCCGCCGGCGTCCCTCCCGCCCCGCGCGCCCAGCCCAGTCGCCATCGCCGCCGCCTCAGGTAAGCGCTGTCCCGGCCGGTGCCCCGTGCCCTGCGCACAGCGCCCCGCCCGGAGTCCTAGCTGCCGCCTGCGGCCGGTCCGCGTGGAGCCCTGGGCCCCCGCAGCTCAGGCCGGCGCCCCAGGGGGCCACCAAGGGCGCCCAGACCCCAGGCAGCCCGTGGGGTGGGGCTGCGCGGAGCCACAGATCGGAACCCCTAACCCCCAGCGGGACGGTGCCGGAACGGAGGGAGCAGAGGCAAGAGCCCAAAGTAGGAAAACAACCGGGGTGTCTCTCCCCATGGCTTCTCAGCCTTTGAGGAAAACCCCTTCCTTCAACGTGGAGCGGGGCCGTGGGAGCGCGCGTGTGCGCCTGTGAGTGCAAGTGCGTGTGAGTCGGGAAGGGGCTGCCAGGGGTCTCTCTCTTCCCCCCGGGGGTGGCCTGGGGGCGCGGGAGGCCCGAGAGGACCGCACACTGTCACCCTCTCCGAAGTCTAAGGCACACTCAGTGCCCAAGCGTCCAGTCTCTCTGGTCCGTAAAAACCGCCATCTCTGGGCGACCTTCCCTGACAGGGGCGCAGGGGCGAGGGCTGTTGGGGGTCAGGGGGAGCCAGGGAAGAGAGAGAGAGAGTGATGGAGAATATGGGGACCTCTGGGGGTCAGAGAGAGACGGTGACTGAGAATTTGGGGACTTCTGTGGCCAGCTCAACTGGCCCCTCCGCAGCAGTTGGAGGCTGCAAAGCGTTTGTCTCACAAACACATCCTCAGGCCGGTGGCAGAGGGGCGGAGAAACGGGAGCCTCTCCCATTGTCTCCGAGATCCCTGGAGGTTCTGTATGCGTATAGCTTGGGGCAACATTCACATCCAATGCCTTTTATGGTCTGACTTATCTTCGCTTACCTCCTGAAAGAATAATGAAACGAAATTAAAAACACACATCGGAAGCGAATGCAAAATGTTGGATGCAAATGAAAAAATACAATTTTAAAAATGGGGGGGGAAACAAACCCTAAAGGTGATCTTGGGGTCTGCCAAACCTTTGCACGCTCCCCCCACCCCGGGTTTCCCTCTCTGGGGGAGGGGCCCAGCATCAGTGCTTCCCCTCAGTTGCTAAGACTTAGCCGCCTTCCCGCCCCCTCATCCCTTGAATTGGGTCTGTTAGCGAGTCCCGTGGGGCCGGCCTCTAAAGGGCGTCCAAGTCCGTGGGCTTTTTGCTCACAGCATCCGAGTGCTCCCCGGGCACCACCCTGTCGTTTGGCAGCCAGAATAATTTTTTATTTTTTTAAGTAAGTGAAGCAGATAGTGCCACTCGTCTGCCTGGAACCCTTCCAGAGCTTTCCTTATGAGCGGCATCAAGTCCCGGAGATCCTCCCTGCGCATGCCCGGCAGATCTGGCCTTCGCTGCCTCCAACCCCCTGGCCGTGGCCCTGGCCACCCTGGCGCGCCTGGCTCTCCGGCAGGTGCTCTCTGCTGCCCGCTGACTCTACCTGGCCAGCACCCCGTCTAAACCCAGCCTCTGTCTCTCTCCGTGTTCTTCTTGGGGTCTCCTCTGTGTCCCCACGGCATCTGTGGGACTTCTTTAATTCCCCCAGCGGTGACCACAGCAGCTCCGAGGGTCAGAGGCTGTTTCTGTGTGTCTGCCGTGAGCACTGCTGCGTCTGGACTCCCGGCACTGTCCAGGAGGGGCCGAGGTCCTACGAGGACAGTGACCCATGGCGAATGGGCAGCCTTAACTTCGTTGTGGTTTCGTGACCCTGAAGGGCTTCTGCCCTGGAGCCCTTGGGTGTTCCTCTGGGATTGAGAGGTACCCATTTCCCCGGTCTGCAGGTCCATGACATTTTGAGGTCTGGGACTCCATCAAACACATCAAGCCAGGCCATTGGTCCCCAGGGATGTCTAGAACCATGTGTAGCCCACCCTCTCCACCAGGCTTC